GATGGATGGATGGATGGATTGCCTTCGAGTTAATGAGTCAATGCAATAAACTTGTTTTCCTTAGATAGAAAACTTTGAATCAATTTGACTGTATGATCTCGTGAACTGTAAAGTGCCTTGAAAGGACGTGTTGTGAATTGGCACTATATAAATAAACTGAATTGAATTTCTTATGTTTACAGGGATATGAGAGATATGAAGAACCTTCTAAGTAAACTCAGGGAGACAATGCCTTTACCACTTAAGAACCAAGGTAAGGAAATATTACAGCTAATTTAAGTCACATGGACACCAAGCTCATATAATAGAACATAAAATCTAAAGGTAAAATCTAAACATTGAATCCATCCAACCTTGGATAGTTCCAATAACCAGGGTAAAGTTTTTAAAAACAATGCAGCTTTGCTGATCGTTTACTTAAGGTCTGAGTAGTAATGCTTGGAATACAATTACTCACCTTAAAAAAATAATTATTGTCAATAATTGTATTTAATTCATTAGAACTATAAGTAACTATTAAACTTTTTATTTACTAATCATACCATTGTTATTAGACATGTGAGGTATTAGTGATAAACCCTGAATTGCAAATGATCCACAAATTATCAGATTTCCACTATAAGCTACTTTGATGAAATGAGGATGGCACTGAAATATTTGGCGACTGAATACTTTTTTATGTCAACACTTTTGCATGATAAGAATTTTGCAGAGACATACAACTTACAAGTGGTATTACTGTGTTCTTTTGCCCAGATGACAGTAGCTTGCTGAACCTGACTCCCTACCCTCTTGTCCGACAGAGGAAAAGGCGCTTCTTTGGGCTCTGTTGTCTGGTAACCAGCTAAAGTCCCCACCTTCTTACGTAGGAGTGGACAACAAAGACACCATCACCCACTGTCTCTCACCGCTCGTGTCTGCCACCAATCTACTACTGCCATTTTCAAAATGTAAAATCCTTTTTTTTTTTTTTTCCAAGGCTGCCCATTTAAAAATTTTATTTTGTAACACAATTGATAATATTAACTGCAATTTAATGATATAAAAAAATCATAATTTATTCAAAGAAATTTTGCAAAGGCTTTTTCCATTTTATAAGACGTAAAATAAATCTGCTACTTTATCAGTTTTAAAAGAAGAATGACAGATCATCTGAAGCAATGTCACAGTTTGATTATTTCCGCAGTCTGGAACGAATTAAGCTTTTCAAAAAGGGAATTTAAATGTCCGTGTTGTCAGAATTATTGTGATAATGTATGAATAAATGATTTTGAAAGTTTGAAGGCCGCGCTCCAGTAGACGAAGGGATGCCTTTGTCAAATATTAGATGAGAAGTTTGTGCAGAAATGTTGGTTGTCTATTAGTCTGTTTTTGTTCCTTGCCGTTTTTATTCTTCTCAATGTACTTAATTTAGTCTTCCATTTACCAAGAACTTGTATCTGACTTAAACTTTCCAGCTTCAAATGAAATATATGATACATTACTCAAACAAAAAATTCTTTGCACACAATATCTATCTTTAAAGATGTTAGACCTGTACATAGACATACTCTTTACGCAAGACTCTAATTAGTTTGAAAGCTGAAGCTGGTTAGCCAACGGTGCTGGATTTGAGGTGATAAAAGATGGGAGCATCCTGTTCTGACAAAGGCTGCACTTATTTGAATGACAAGAAGATACGGTTCTAGAAGCTGTAATAGGTCATTTTACATTGTTAATAAAACTTTCTTATTTAAACCATTTATGTAGTGTGGGAGACTTCTGTCTAACATTCAATACATTAAGTTGTCCATTAGGTGGAGACAGAGATGCACAACTAACAGAGACATTTAATATTGAATTATTGCAAACAGTCATGATCCTTAAGGCTAATAGTGTAATTGTGTTGGCACAGTAATATAGAAATTACACTGCTTAAAATTAGTAGCATTTGTCAGTGATCTGGAAGTTTAGGGGCACCTTACTAAACAATACAGAGAGGCCAAAGGCCACTTATACAACTAGCTGGCCCTCCTTATCACTGCAACAGTGCTACAGACTTCTTACCACCATGCCATAATATTGTCTTGATGTAGTCATTTGTGCAGAAGGATTGTGGACTAACTAGCTAACTACAATAGCTGTCTACATACCGTATGTGGACATATCAATTGGACAACTGACATTTCTGAATCAAAAATTTATTTTCTGATTAGTTTTCTATTTCCATCAATCCATCTATTTTCCATCCCACTTATCTCTGCTGGGTTCGCGAGGGGTAGTGGTGCCTATCTCCAGCTGTCAATGGCCGAGAGGCAGAGTTCACCCTGCACAGGTTGTCAGTATATCACACAACACAGACAAACAGGACAAACAATCATTCACAAACACCTAAGGAGAATTTAGAGAAGCCTGTTAACCAAACAGTCATGTTTTTGGACTGTGGAAGGAAGCCAGTGTACCTGGAGAGAAACCACGCATGCTCAGGGAGAACATGCAAACTCGCATCAGAAAGACCCCGGGCCAGGAATCAAACCCGGAACATTCTTGCTGCAATGCAGCAGTCCTACCCACTGCGCCACTGTGCAGCTACTAGTTTTTCTATTATGTAAGAAAATTGATTTGAAAGTCTGCACAGTGGCCCAAGGTTAGCAGTTAGAAGGCAGGGGTTCATCCTGGAACCAGTGAGTTGTCTGTGTGAGTCCCTGCTCCCCCTGTCGTTGTCTTTGAGCAAGAAACCTTACTCACCTTGCCTTTTATTGGTGGTCAAAATCAGTAGTGTAAGGGAGCCTCACATTTGTCAGCATGCCCAGGGCAGCTGTGCCACCATCAACATATGAAGGTGTGGGAAAGTGAATGAATGACTGAATGTAGCCAGAACTCCTTGTGGCTCTGGGACTTTAAGTGCAGAGTGTTAGGATTATTCTTTTTTACTCGTGTGTAGCGGTTATTATTATTACCTATCTGTTAAGGAGAGTAGATGGAGTACATAGTCTTCCTTCACACAGTGTAATATAGAATTTACAATTTCAACATTTTTTTTTTCAGGAACTCCATTCTCTTAGTGAGCCACATTAAATGGATTAATTACAAACAATGTTTGTTGATTATGATGATTTTCATTTTACAGCTGACAAATACATGCAACTGCTTTTTTCAGATAAGAATATGACATCAGGACAATTGAATACATTGTTAATAGAGATCTCTTTTTAATACCTGCTTAAAGGTTGTGACCTTTTATCTGAAAAAAGAACTCAAATAACTACATATGAGACAAGTAGTACTGACACACATAGACATGGTGTGACAGCTGCTCCCCTTTCCGTTATAGTAGACACATGACGGCCCTAAAAAATACATTTCAGGTCTCAATCCTAGAATTAAAATGTGCATTCACATCTTAAGGTATATTTTTTTATTTACTTTTCTCAGATAAATGACTGGATTAATATTGTGTTTAAATCACAATTCAGAAGTCAACACCACAGCTGCTTACTTACATTTGTTATCCTTCAATTTTCAGAGAAGGTACAGGAGAACATTTATTGCATTCTCTTTCTGAATCTTTCACATTTGCATTAAGAGTAAAGATAAAATTGAAGCTCTGTGTTAACAAGAATTTAAGAATCTAAGAATTTTCTAACTCTATTCTAGCTTGCACACAACATTTGATTTTGATATGTGATGAGTAAAAACACTTTAAATAATGTAGTTTGGATATTTTATTGAACAAAATGCAAAATTAAAGAAAAGATATAAAATATTCTTAGCTAATTGTATTTGCAAAAACACATATGTTGGGGAATCTGAAAGAATTTGTATGTTGTTCTGATCATAAAGAAATCAAGCTCATATTGTGCAGCGTTACATCAGTATGTGGCATAAATCCTACTGTTAAACTTCCTATGGTGAGAAACACTTGTTCATTGTGTTTCTATACCATTGTCCCTTTTTTATGGTATACATATATAGTATCTCTCTATAGGCGGTCATGCTTACACAACCACTTTTTGTTTTACAACAAAATCTGTGGCAGCATATTTTAAACAAAGTGTGCATACTATCAGTATAAGATGCAAAGAAAGGTGAAGCTGGAGCAGTGTTTACTATATTAGCAATAATGTAGATTAGGGAAGTAACAATACCAGATTTCTTCTAATAGAGTACAAGTGCTGACACTAAAGTACTTGCCAATACTGAATACAAGCAGTAAACCAAAAGATTTGATCTTATTTTTCTAAAATGCTAAGCTAAAAAAATGACAGACTTTTACCTTTGATCTACTACAGCTTAGGTGCAGTTGTGGAGGCTATATTCCAAGAGGGAAGGGCCTATAGAGAGCTGTAGCTAGGGTAAACTTAATTACTTTGGTTCTGTGATCTTTGTCAAATATAGAAGTGCTATCAGTTCAGGGTCTCTGGTAGTTATCGCAAATAGATCCCCACTGTAGATTCTATATTTTTTAGGATGCACATGGCAGGATACTGACAACCATCACCTTCTCCCCTTTACATCTTCGAATTCCAGCATCACACTCACTCATGGTTTGCGGAGCAACATTTAAATCCTCCCCAACACGGACACACACATTTAATCCTGGAGTTGAGCAGTCTGCAGAGTCTTTACAACGACACTGGTTGCTTTGATCTGACAGAATGTAGTAAGAAAAGAAGGAATAATTAATGAAAATGTCAAAAACACTATACAATGCAATTGAATGTTTGTGACCTTCCATCTTCCTACCATCACAGTTTTCCCACATGTGACATTCGGTGCAGCTCGTTCTGTTGTGCTGAGGCCACTTGCAGTTGCTGTCCTCTACTATCTGAATGTTTTTACCCATACATCTGAGTGCTTGCATTTTGCATACAGTCAAGGAAGCAAACTGTCCATTTGATGGTGATATGGCACATAATTCAAGGGAGGAGCTAAACATAGGTAACATAGTACATTCAATTAAGTCAACAAATTAGCAAAGGTTACACTAATTTTTAGGTGATTACCAGAGTAAAAGTACCTGCACTCATAAGGCATCTTACAGACACATTTTCCCCTAATTGTCCTCTCCCATTCTTTGCATTGTGTTGTGGGAACAGTAGGAGGATGTTTTTTCTCTGCTGTGAGATATATGAAAATACGTATTTCTTTAATTTCCTGCATAGAACATTAAAAATAAATATGCCTTATACTGCCAAGATTAACATCCCACCTATCCAGCAAAAATCTATGACTTCACAAATACACTTCAAAAGGAAAAATCAAAAAGATCATATAAACATGCTCCTAGAGCTTGTTAGGAGTTTAACAAGCAGAAAGCCTTCATAGAAAAGAGGAAGTAGTAATAGCTGCAGATGATGGACCAATGTTATGTTAAACCACATGGATTAAGAATGAGATATTACTTGATTTATGCGAGTTAAGGTCGGTGAGTAAATACGTTTGGCAAAAGGACTGCACTGTACTCTAAACTGCAGTATATTCTTGAAGTATATCAGATATCTATTAATAAATACATAAAATAAAATAAAAGGATTACCTTGGATGCACCTGGTTTGAGCTGGGTCTGGAGAAAAATGTAAACTGGAATCACAAGTAGCCATTGCCTCTCCTTCTAATGCACTACCTTCTGGACAGGATAAGGTAACACTTTCTCCTATATTATAAGCTTCCTGTAAAGGCGAGGCTATGACATCTGGCAATGAAGGAAGCTTGCATATTAAAGCTAGAAGAGGGGAAAAAACATGTTAGTTATTACCAAGGTTAATTACCTCTGATATTGTATTTCAAATCCATTCTAAATCCAGATACCTGTGCAGAGTCCAGGGTTTGCTGACCAGGTTTGATCAGCAGTGCAATGAAGGATGTTGTTACCCAAAAGAAAAAACCCAGCAGTGCAGGTATATTCCACAGTGTTACCCACATAGTAGTCATCCTTAGGATCCTGTACAACATGCATTGGAAAACAGTTTTATTTTTACCCTAAAAACAGACTTCAGAGAGCTACAAGCTCCAATTTGCTTAAGTGTCCATAATACTGAGTTTGAACATGTTTACCACAGATAATTTTCAGAGTGATATGACATACTGTAAAATCTGTTATGAAAATGAAGGAGTCTTTAAAAATGTTACAAAGTTTTGTCATTGAGTGCCATTCAGTAAATGATAATTATTTTAATGCAAATATGAAATTGTTAAAAAATCTCTTTGTTACAACAACCCAACCTTACTAGAGACAAAGATGGCTTTCTAATGACTACTTGAAACGAACAGAACCCATTTTGAAAGAACAAGTTGACATTAACCAAGAAAACATAGCCCATCATAAATACGTAGTAACAGGTGTGAGTATTCATCTTATAACTAATCAAGTTATTTAGATGTATCCATTGGCTGCCATAAGATGTCATTGTCTTGGTTCTGTTATGCTTTACTTTGCTCCATGTTTTCTAGTTTTCTTGGTTTAAATCCTATTTTGTTGTATTTTCTGGATAGATTTTGGTTCTGAGGTTTTCTTTGTTGTTCTCTGTTGCCCTCTTGTGTGTTTGTGTTCCTGTTCCCTTGGCTTCCTCATTGCCTCCTCTCACACCTGCTCCTTATTTGCTCGTTAGCCCTGCTTTTGTTTTTAGTCCAGATAAATACTCTCCCTTTTCTGTCACTCCTTGTTGATTCCTCTGTTGTTGCCTGTTGTTGCTGCCTCCGTCGTCACTGGTTCTGCTGTTTCCCCGTTGCTGTTGCTGATTGTTTTCCCCTGAAGTCTGCATGGTTCTGGTTTGTTTTACATTTTAAGTTGTATTTTGGATTCCTGCCTTTGTTAACTTTTTTCCCCAATTAAACTACAAGAAATCACCTCAGCCTCTCCGCCTCTACATTTGGGTCCTCTAAACATCAACCAAAACGTGACATAAGACCATTTTAACTGTTTCAATAACATTTCACCTTACCTCAAATGAAGTTGAACACAGAAATAGTTGCAAACATATCATTGTTATTATTCTTACAAATGCTTTAATATAAAAGCGATTTTGTCATGTGCATGATGGTGCCATGTTATTCTTATGAACACTCCTTCAAATAGTGTAACCCAGAATGAATAAGATGTCAGAGATTAAAACAGGAAGAGGATGTATAGTACAGAAGAAGATATTTATTACTGTATTTTTAATGGCTTCATTCTTAGAAACTGCTGTCAAATAAGCTTTTAATTTAGAATAATTGGAATGTGCTTAAATTGTTCAAACCAATTAACAATACAAATCAAAGAAGGCAAATAAAGCATTGGTAGCAACAACCATTATTAAGAATTGGTAAAGAGACTTTTAATAATGATTAACAGATAATGCATTAATATATATATATATATTCAATAATATATATATAATCATTGATGAACTGCATCTAAAACATTTATAAAGGTAAGTAGAACATAATGCCCTGCCATGTTGGTTTAGCTCTAACATCAGTGGGCTTCAAGTTTAACCCTAATCTGACTAAAGGCTCTGCACATGGATTGTGCTACTAACCCCTGTATCCCCACTGCACCCAATGTTAACCCATGTTAACTTTGACAGCCCTAATTGCAAGGCATTGTCACCAATACCACTGTCAAATTTTTTCGAACGATCATATCATGGTTTTGTAAAATATTATTTGAAAGGTGTCAAAGGTAGTACCAGCGCTGATTTCTTCCCATCTAAAGCACTGACCATAACCATAGTCCCAGTTCAATGTTTATTTATGGTCTACTTTTTAATTTTATGAATCTCTCCCTCCAAAATCATCCACAGCTGTTGATTAACAGCCGTCTTACACTGCTGAGAGTGGACAAGGACAAGGTGGAGTCAGTGCGAATTGTATTTATCTGATAAAACTCACAGTACTAAATGAAATCACTAAATTTCACAAAGATTTGTACAAAGCAAAGATGTTGTAGAATTCAAAGTAAAGAATTAAGTTGAAGGCAAAAATAAAACAGAACAACAATAAAGCAGAAGATAAAGAGACAAGATGGATTTTAAAAAATTATGATGAAACATTTTGAGGTTCTCCTAAAGACACTCTGGTGTGTACAGAAATATCCATTTGAAATATGAAAATTAAGAGAAACTTGAACCTATAGAGTGAGTGGTGAATGAATTGTAACACAGAATAATTTTCTGATATTTTCCTGGACTTCTATATAGGAAGAATGTTTAAGATTGTGTAAGGAATTGGTGAAATTGGATTCTGACTTTGCAGGTTAGGGAGTAGGGTTAATATGAGACATGAAGGGAAAGTAAAACTAACCAAAATAGTACTATGGGTTTCTTTTTTTCATTATTTCTTTAAGCCACATTGTACAGTAATTATGAGATCAGAATCATCTTTACCAGGATATAGCCGTTCCTTAGACTGGGTGGAGTCGCGCATTTCTGGAGGGCTGGGAGGGTTCTATCAAAGCACTGAGGCTCCATGGTTCTGTGGAAATGTTAAAGAGAAATCTGTATAATGGTTTGTCAAAGTCACATTGTCAATGTGGTATAATTATAGTGCAGTTTTGAAGTAAGGCAGGGCAAGTTTATTTATATAGCCCCTTTCCCCCGGCAAGAATATTTAAAGTGCTTTAAATGGAAAAAAAGAGATAGAAACATACATTGCATTGGCATAGAGGCAACACAGATAAAGGTAACAAAAGTGACACAATAAGAGGATGATATATATATATATATATATATATATAGATAGATAGATAGATAGATAGATAGATAGATAGATAGATAGATAGATAGATAGATAGA